TCTAGCGTAATTCTTGGCCAAGACTTTCAGAAACTCCATGAAAGTGTTCAGTTGAATTACGGTGGTGATTTTCCCCCGCTCGTTATTTGTGGACTCGGTGTGCCAAAGATTGATCCTCCAGAGTTGTTTGCCAATCTTACAGCTGATTGCCATCCTGTTGCAGCCAAATCCCGGCGCTACTCCACTGAAGACCGCGAATTTATAGAAAAAGAAGTACAAAGGCTATTGAAGGAAGGAATCATCGAACCAAGCAACTCTCCGTGGCGTGCTCAAGTGGTTGTCGTGAAAGGCGAGTCCCGCAAGATGCGGCTGGCCATAGACTATTCTGAAACCATCAATAAGTTTACACTCCTTGATAGTTACCCCCTTCCTCGTATTGATGAAACAGTGAATAAGATGGCACAGTATAGAATTTTTAGTACCATTGATCTGCGCAGTGCTTATCATCAAGTGGCCATCAAAGATACAGACAAGTTGTATACGGCTTTTGAAGCAGGAGGTAAACTTTACCAGTTTGCAAGAATCCCATTCGGTGTCACTAATGGAGTTGCTTGTTTCCAAAGAATTATGGATTCGCTGATCAAGGAGGAAGGACTTGTTGGTACCTACGCCTATTTAGATAATGTCACCATCTGTGGAATGACGCAACAAGAACATGATGGCAATCTCAACAAGTTCCTTGAAGCTGCTGCGAGGAGAAACATGACCTACAATGAAGATAAGTGCACCTTTTCAACCTGAAGTCTCAGCATTCTAGGCTATGTCGAAGGTTTAATTCGTCCCGATCCTGAGCGACTACGACCTCTTCGTGACCTACCTTTGCCGACGGATATGAAATCACTCCGTCGTACTCTTGGGCTTTTTGCTTACTATTCGCATTGGATATATGATTTCTCGGACAAAATTCGTCCCCTGAGTATCACCACTAGCTTCCCAGTGACTGAAGCGGCAGAAAAGGCATTCCAACAACTCAAGAAGGACATAGAGTCATCTGTGGTTAAGGCAATCGATGAGTCACTGCCTTTTGTAATGGAAACTGACGCCTCGGATACTGCTATTGCCGCCGTCCTTACTCAGGCTTGACGTCCGGTTGCCTTTTTCTCGCGAACTCTTCAGGGACCCGAGAGACGTCATGCTGCTGTTGAAAAAGAGGCTCAAGCTATTATTGAAAGTGTCCGCCATTGGAGACACTACTTGACTAGAAGACATTTCACAATAAAAACTGACCAACGTTCTGTAAGATTCATGTTTGACAAACAACATAAGATAAAAGTAAAGAACGATAAGATCCTAAGGTGGAGAATGGAGTTATCTTGTTATGACTTTGACATAATTTACAGACCAGGCAGAGAAAATATTACTCCTGACATGTTCTCCAGATCTTGCTGCGGCATGATGTGCCACGACCAGCGGTCCCTGTCAGCCATTCATGATGCCTTGTGTCATCCCGGCGTCACACGGTTGCTTCATTTCATCAAATCTAGGAATCTGCCTTACTCTGTGGAAGACGTCCGACGAACTATCAGTTCATGTAAAGTATGTGCTGAATGCAGACCAAACTTTCACCAGCCCGAGAGGGCCCATCTCATAAAAGCTACACAGCCATTTGAACGCCTCAACATAGACTTTAAAGGACCCCTTCCTAGCACAGATAATAAGTATTTCCTCAATATCTTTGACGAATATTCAAGATTTCCATTTGTATTTCCATGTCCCAATATGACTGCCGCAACAGTTATTAATTGCCTCTCTCAACTCTTTTCTATTTTTGGTATGCCAGCATATGTGCACTCGGATAGAGGATCATCATTCATGGGTAAAGAAGTTCAAGACATCCTGGTCAGCAAAGGTATTGGCTGTAGTCGGACCACTGCGTATAACCCTCAGGGTAATGGTCAGGTTGAACGGTTCAATGGGAGTATATGGAGAACCATTACGGCTGCTTTGAAGTCTCGTGGCCTGCCAACCCAGTACTGGCAAACTGTCCTTCCTGACGCCCTCCATTCAATTCGTTCATTACTATGCACTGCTACTAATGCTACTCCTCATGAACGTCTGTTTAATTACGCTCGTCGTTCTTCAACAGGAACTGCTATTCCGTCTTGGTTGTGTGAGCCTGGTCCGGTGCTCTTAAAGCGCCATGTACGAACAAGCAAGACCGAACCCCTAGCAGATGAGGTCGAACTTATACAAGCAACTCCTCAGTACGGTCACATTCGATAACACTGTATCTGTGAGACACCTGGCTCCTGCTGGTTCTGAAACATGCATTGATCCTGGCTGTGAATCAAGTGACGTGCCTTCCCAAACAATAGAATCTACTAATGTGACTCCTCAAGAAGGATCTCCTGAGTCTACCTCAACTCCTCTACCACAACAAGAACTAGCTGAGGAAGCTCCAGTACCTAGGCACTACCCCAGCCGTATCCGACGCCCACCTACTCGTCTCGAATCGTTGTGAATATTACATTCTTCTGTAGGGGGTGATTGTGGTAATAAATATGAACTATCACTGGAATTACCCTTGTTAGCAAACCATTGTTAAGTGAATGTACTGGATCGTTTTAGGTAGTCTCGGCGAGCTGTGAGCCGCGACGTGAGTGCTCCCTTACTCCTTGACCGCTACTCGCACTACACGGCCAGACTAGCATGCCTGCCTCTCAACGTGTCTCTTATTAGGCAACTTCAGGTGTTTATTACTAGATTTCAGCGGGAGTGTTTTTCACTGATACATGTCTGATTCCTTTAGTTTCTTTAGTGTATAGTTTAAGAGTGTTCTTTCATCTTTGCAGTGTCCTACGTTTTGTTTTATGTCTATTAAAGCCTACAATATGGCCCGATGTGTTTTTCTACCCACATCAATATGTTATATATAGTATAGTATATATATATATATATATTTTATATATATATGGTATAACTATATATGTATATATATATATATATATATATATACACGTATAATCCTTATCCATTATCCATAATCCATTATAACATATACATACACACACACGCACACAACACACACACACACACCACACACACACACACCTATATACTATGTATATTAATAATTATATAATATATATATATAAAGTAACACATACAGTCACCACATAACGTATACATATTATAAATCTGAGAGAGGCCCAAAATCCTGTAGTAGAATGAATGGCTGTAGAACAAAGAAAACACACACACACATCACTCAACACACAATTTCTGTGTTGGTAATAGTATATACTATAGTATATATATATATATATATATATATATATATATATTATATGTGTGTGTGATGTGCTGGTGTGTGTGTGTGGTGTGTGTGTGTGTGTGGGTGTGGGTGTGTGTGAGTGTGGTGTGAGTGTATGTTATATATTGGTGAATGATGCGTGTGTGTGTTGTATGTAGTGTGTGTGTGTGTTTTGTATTGTATGTGTGTGTGTGTATGTGTGTGTTGTATGTGTGTTGAGTGTTGTAGTGTAATGTGTATGTAATGCGTGTGTATCTTTGTATGTATGCATGTTATGTGTGTGTTATGGTAGAAAAACTTAAAACACTAGAGGAGGAGCACGAGTTTCGCAATCTCTTGAGTCCACCTTCATGGCTGAAGGGGGAAGGTGGGAGAGCAGGGCGTGTCGTAGATCAGAAAGGAGATGGCAACTCGGAACACGGAGCCAGGTGATGGACAGGAGACCCGGAAGCGAAATGTGGTTGGGTTTGGTGGAAAGGATCAGGCGAGGAGAATTGAATCCGCAGAAGAAATCTTGCATGGTTAGGCCACACCCTTGATTCAAGAATGGATCCCGCCAAGGCTGCGGGCGTGGACACCAGCGGACGGGGAGACAATGGCGCGCAGTTGACCAATCCATCCTGATTGCAGAAGAAGGCGTTATTGGTGCCCCCTCGGATGACCAGGCGTATATGTTCAGAAAGATGGGCGTCTTTTTCTTGTCATTGTATATTCTAAGTCTTGGTACTGCGACTCCAAAAATACCTGGGCTTTATTCACAGGACGGCATCAAAGTGACAAGCTATAGGATCCCTTCACTTACGAAGATGAGCAAATAGACGTGTACCGCGACGCCGAGAGTTAGATCTTCCCTCAGTGCACAGGGTGCGATCAGTGGACACGGGATAGTGCATGAGGTGTGTCTTTCTTAAGCAATGAGTCGTGGTAGAAGGTACGTGCGCCCCTTGGATAAACGTGGCGTAGCGTTCATCTGTGGATGAGCAGTATAATGCGAACGTAGCTCCTCAGCTTTGAAGAATCTGATCCTGAGAAGCAGGAAATTTGCGATTGTGTATTATATATGCTATAATATGTATATACTGATAGAGTATATATACTAGTAAGGTATATAGTGATACACCTATAATATTACATATATCTATATATTAACTGCATACATATATCATATTAACCATACATAATAGTTTTATAAATTACTCATACATCACTATTTGAGCTCTCTTCAAAAAGTCCTTGGATTAAATAGTCTTCTCATAAACTCTATAAAATGTTTGGAAAGAATCTTTCTTATTCCATCCGTTGTAACATTTCTTCCTTACATGTCTCCTAAAGCCTGTTGTAACATGTTCAAATCACGTGAACCCTTATAAGGCCCTGTTAAACTGCAAACGCATCGCCTCAACGTTGTAAGTCTAGCCGCACCCATTTTCAATGCAACACATGGAACCACCAAAAATCCGCAGACACCTAACAAGCAAACATATAAGTTTCATCGGTCTGAAACCTTGGTTTGGAGAAATACGCCAAATCATTGACCTCTGAAACAAGTTTAGGGTGATAATCCCCACAGAAGTCCCACAACCTACAATTGGGACATAGTAGCTTCAGACAGTGGAAAACCAAAAGTAGCGAAGGTATGACGCCCCGCAGTGGCAGGACCAAAGCAATTGTACAGTTTGTGAGGAAAGCATTAGGAGATGGCTGTTCGTGGGCCCTAAGAATCGTAAAACAGAGTAACAAATTACCCAACTGAAGTCCGGTAGTCAGACCATGCCAACATCCTCCGTGGGTTACTGACACGCTATTCTGGGTGACACATATGTGGAGATGTGGTGAATATAGTATCCCGAACTGCTTCTCCGCTAGGATGGGTTGCTCCTCTCGCTCGTGTGTTGCGAGCCCAGAGTTCAGGCCTAGCGAAGACGAGACAGAGCGTCACATCACTGCGAGGAACAATATGGTGAATACACAGGTTTGGGTGATGGGCGGAACCAGCTGTGGTGATCCAGGGAAAAAAGTGTTGACGTTTCGTCGGATTGCAAGAGACATAAGGGGTACACAGCACGCGGAGGTGACTGACAATCTAGTCCGCTCTACCGCTATCATGGATACGATCAACCGCACCAGGACCGATTCACACTTTCGTATATCAAATATGCCGGCGCACATAGCCTGCGTGGAGGCGTCGTGGAAGGAGAGGTTTGGTAGCCACAGGACCTCAAAACTGAGCAAACTCTGGATACGCGATTCCAGAGAAGAATATGGTAACTATGAGCGGCCACTGTCTTCTGGGGATATTCCCAGAAACAGGAATTTTTGTGCTCTGTTGACTCCTCCGAGAACAAGAAAGACATACTATTAGCCGATACCGTTTTGAAAAACTGAATCAAAAAAAAAAATCTCAGAAAAACGCCCATGTGCAAAATCGGCATTTAACCGGGCGATAGACTGAGTGCGTCCTCTTGCGACTGGACCACGATCTCTATCGCTACCCACTTGCCAGGACACGGTGCTTCAGGGGAGCAAACACAAAGCCTGGGTAGGAGGTACGAATGAATTTCCGATGGGAACGAAACTGCATCTCCGACATCACCCTTATGGAGGCCCTGATTTTAGCCTCCACTCCACGAATGTTATGAGAAGAAAACTAATGTATGAAAAAATCTTTGACCCAATTTTGTCGTCCAGGTTGTGACCAGAATGGTAAAAGACTGCTCCTCAAGCCAAGAGCACCATTCGATTTGATTCGATCGTTCCGATTCTATGCAGATGATACTATGAAGAGGTTATGATTAGTAACGTGTAGTTGCCTGATGGAGCGTTGGTGCCAGTGCGATCCCTGGAGAGCAATATATATATCCATAACCGCCCAACATATATTTTTTAGTTAAGGCACTTTTCCCACGAACTATTTGTTGGAAGGCCTCTCGTGTGCTGTGTCGATGGTGCGTGTATGTTGTGTGTGTGTGTGGAGTATATATTACTAGTATTTAAGTAATTAATATATGTAGAATTGATATGCGCTACAATAGAATCCACTGATCAGGCGAGTTCATATAATATATCACTAGTATGATTTAGAAGCTACATGGCTATATAGATAAGCGTGATGTGTGTCATAACGGTCGTTGTTGCTGTGCGTGTGTGTGAGTTGTGGTGTACATATATAGCTCGGCGCCACAAATCACCAGAGAACTTTATCCTTACTATATAAGTACATTATATGTTAGTATGGTGCACTAGCTAGTCAGGGTAAATTATATACGTAGTAGGCTAAATAGTATAGAGAGGTATCTATTATGATATATCGAGGTATAAATTACCATACATAGCATGATATATATAATATATATATATTATATATATATAGTATATATACTGGTGGTGTGTGTGTGTTTGTCAATATCATATACTACAAAAACACAGATATGTATTACAACACCAGCCATCACAGCACACACACACACACACACACACACACACACACACACACACACACACTAAACACACAAACACCATCACACATATATTTATTTATCTCTATATTATATTATATTATATATTATAATATTATTTGATCGCCTCCCCAAAGGCCGCCGATTGATCTCCGTCCCCTTCGGGCTCGGCATCTCCGCGGGGCCAGCTGGAAATCGCAGGACGTCAACAAACGTCCAGGGAAAAGAAGCCGATTCGGCGGCCATCTCGGCCTCCGTAATCACATATGGCGAGCTCATCTAAGGGGAACGGCCATCAACCCTCGGCCGGTGAATGGCGGCGCGAGGAGCCGTTTGCTCCTGTGCTTTCTAGCCGTGTCCTGCAGCTCCTTTCGCGCTTGGATTTATCTCTCTCTTTTCTCTCCCTCACCCCCCCTTCTCACTCCCTCCCCCCTCTCTTTCTCTCTCTCTCTTCTCACTCTCTCTCTCTAATCTCCGTCTGCAATCATACACATTTCACAATCACACACGCACGCACGCACGCACGCACGCTCCCCCCCCCACACACACACGATACACACATACACACACACACACACACACACACACACACTACACCACACACAGTTATTTATATTATATATATATATATATATAGCTATATATATTATGATGTGTGTGTGTGTGTGTGTGTGCTGTGTGTGTCGTGTGTGTGTTGTGTGTGTGTGTGTGTGATGTGAGTGTGTGTGTTATTACATACATATATATATTATATACACACATATATATATGTCTTTATATCAATAGATATATATAATAGATATAATAAAAATGCATAAATCCACACACACACACACACACACACACACACACACACACACACACACACACATATAGTACAATATATATATATATTATATTGTGTGTGTGTGTGTGTGTGTGTGTGTGTGTGTGTGTGTGTGTGTGTGTGAGTGTGTGTGTATGTGTGTGTAACCCAGCTATATCTATATCTAATTACTATATTGTACATATATATATATATATATATATATA